CGTTTGAGCTGCAAAAACGCGCTTCCTGCAAGGCGAACGCGACCTACTTTGTGCGCAACAGCACGGCGGTCGGCGACGGCTTCCAGACGTTCTGCTTCTTCGAGTACCTTGGCGACAGCAACTCGAGCGACGTGTGCTTGCCGGCGATGCTGCCGACGGACATCGCGCACGCATTTGCGCCGGTTGAAGCGGAGGCGTATGCCAACAACCCGGACGTCTGCGGCTTTTACTTTTACCCGTACGCCAAGCAGCGCGCGGGTGCGGCCCTCGGCTGGGAAGTGAGCGCCGACGACCTCGACGTGACGTGGGCGCCGCAGTCATACGCGGCCAACGCGCACAAGTTCCCTACCCTCGACTACACACTTGTACGTTCCGACAACGCTCGCACGATGGACAACATCTCATGCCATCATGATGATACTTAGGTGCGGCAGTCGACCAAGGTGCAGAAGGCGGCGCCGGTGCTGGGCCCGATTCCCGTCTACGTCGCACGCGACGAACTCTAAGCTTTCGTGTGGAATCGCAGCCCAGTTTTGAAGGTCTGTTGTAGTTGATCCCATACATACAGGCGTTGTGCGGTGGTGAGCCCTGGTTGTGTGTTGGTGGCTCTTACTTGGGTGCAAGAGTATGCCAAGAATGGGGTCGAGCACGGGCACGATGACGTCCGTAATGGGATTCTGACATCTTGTCGTAGCCGCCGAGATCGCTCATCTGAGAGACATCAACTTGTGTCAACACAGCAGTTCTGACCGTACGATTGGCAGCACCAAAAGGCCTGTGGCTTGCAAACGCCGCTGCCACGTCACGCTATCCGGATGATTGCGGATACGACAATCCAGCGCAGTCAGCAGCTCTCGCCCACATGCATTTTACAACCAGCACGCCGCCGACAGGACGCATGGCAGCCACACTGGATGGCAGCAGAGAACTCATGGCCGCCATCGCTGGCTACGTCCCCAGCGCCAAGGCTTTGCGCAGGCTCCTGGAAGCGCTGCCGCCCAACTTGCTCGGCGACGCATGGGCCAGCATCCTCCGTCTTCTGCAGCATCCAAAGCTCGACCCGAATGCGATCTGGCCGATTGCACAGTTCACAGCCATCAAGGCCGTCGTTGCTCCCAGAGGCAAGGTCAACGTGTGGACACTTCCGGAGCTCGAGCCGCTCTGGGCGATGGGCGTCGACGTGGTGTTCAAGTTCCCCTGCGACCACTGCGTCGACTGTCGCCGCCTCGTGCCACGACATCTTGCCGACATGCAAGCCTTTGGCTTCCAGTGTTCGGCTACCATCAACGTTGCTCGAGGTGTCTGGACGAGCTGCGTGATCCGTCTGCTGCCGTCCAGCACCGTGGACGACGTCAAGCGCTACACATCTGCAGTGGCGGCGATGCCATCGCTGCGCCACGTCATCATCGACCTCTCTCAGATAGCGTACACACTCGAGTTTATACCACCCCAATATGAGCATCGCGCCGACGTGTTTCCTGCTGCGCTCGAGCCACACGTCTGGTCGACCCTCTCTCCGTCGCACATTCGCGACGTGACGATCCTCGGCAGCAACCTCTTGGCGACGACCAAAGGCGTCCGTTCAGCCATTCAATGGCTTTCGTCTCGGCCCTTGCGACGCCTCTGTTTGGCCGAAGCCAAAGTTGACGCCCATACCGTCACCGCCTTCGTCACCGCGATGCGCGACTGCACCACGCTCTCTACGATCGAGCTCAGCTACGACCTCGTGCTTCTACCGGCATTCTTGTCGGTGCCGCTGCCACGTCATTTGCGCCGCTTGCGCTTGTTTGTGAGCGACGAGCCGTACCACGCAGAGACGGGCTGGCACAAGATCACGTCGCTTCCGGTGGCTCTCGTGACCACGGCCATCGCGGGCTCGGCGTTGACGCACTTGTCGATCGATCTCGACAGTCTGGACGACCAAAGCGCCGCTGCGATCGTGTCCACTGCGTTCAAGCACATGCCGTGTCTCGACCACTTGGAGCTGCTCAACGTCCGATGTGCGCCGCATCTGGACGCAGTGCTTGACGCGGGCGCGGCACGGATTGCAGCACTCGAGTCGATGCGATTGCAAGAGCCGATTGAAGATTACTACTAGTGTGCGAAAGTAGAATTTTGTTTTTGTACAACGGAATGCTTGGAAGATCGCGGCGGCTAGCATCACTGCGTCGACGACGACGACGGCGTTCGGATCATGTCCATGTGCATGATGCCATCCTCTTCGTAGAGCTCGGACGTCTGGAGAAACCCGAGCGACTTGTAAAATGGCTCAAGGTAGGCCTGTGCGTTGATGAGAATGCTTTTGTCCGGCCACTCGACCTCGCACGCCGCGATCGCTTCCTGCATGACGGTCTTGCCGAGGCCATGGCCGCGAAAGGCTGCGGTGGTGAGCACGCGGCTGATCATCGCATAGTCTTGTGTGGGGCCTTTCGTATATGGGCCAAGCAGCCGCGCGTAGGCAGCGACTTGGTTGGCGGGCGTCGTGCCAACCAAGTGGCGCATCGTGGCCGCCTTGTCGAGGTTGTCGACCTCGAGCCAGACGCACTTTTGCTCTGCGACAAAGACCGAGCAGCGCGCGTGGAGGACGTCGTAGAGCCGGTCAACCGAGAGTTCGGAGAAGCGTTGGCAGGTCCACTGGACTTTCGGGGCCATTGCGCTCGTCGGTGGCGTTTCGGGAAATGATACTATCGAGTCCGCTGGTTGGCGTGAACGACCTACATTCCACTGCGAGGGTAATAATCCAAGCACCATGCGGCAAGAGACAGATGGCCAACTCGAGGTGCGGTATGACCGACAACTCTGCGCTCTCTTGTCGTCCATGACGTGGCAAAATGCAGTTGGGCTCCCTTGCGCGGCGCTAGAAATCGACACGCGAAAACGTCCATAGCTTGAACTTTCTCACAGTTTTTTTGTGTAAGAACGCTTCCAATCTTGTCACTCGAATGCAGAAAAGTCCTTCTCGACCTCGCAACTCGTTGGAAAGACGATGGTTCTAGAACCCATCGCATGACCTTGACAATAAAACGTTCGTGTGATTACACCCCTGGGTACAACTGCTGGTCACGAAAGGATGACGCGCGACGACGTAGCATGTGCGAATGACATTGTTGTAGTGAAGTGCGTCATCTTGGTTCCAACTACGAGTATAGCGTTGTCGCCGCGTCGTTCTCCCCGCTCTTTCTCGCTCAAGGTTTACACCCCTCTTTTGCCTGTTTTGCGTCGCGGTTCGGCGTCGATCCAGGAACATTCAGAGGCAGTGAGTGGGGTTGGGATTGGAAGGAACGGTCATTTTTCATTTCACGATGCTCGGCCCACGCCAAAAAACGCTCGTGGTCATCTCGGAAGACGACGAGACTACATTTGTCGGTGTGCCGATGGACTGGAAGGTGCCGCTGCTTATATGCAGCGACGTGCAAGCGCTGGCCATGGCAACGTGCTGTCCAGTCGTGTCATTGGCCAAGGTGCTCTCGCTGCTGGGTCTTGCGCCGTTTGGGAGTGTACTTATGCTCGGTGTCTTCTATGTGGTTTGCTTGCTGGGTGCACTTGCCAACGTGGTCTGGCACGATGCGTCCCCGGGCTCGGTCCTTTTATTGGCGTTGTTGGGTCTTGTACCGACCGTCGTGCTCTTCAACCTCCGCGTGTATCTCCGCGAGCTTTTGCGTTTACCAAGCGCCGAGTGGAGTGATGCTGGCGCCGCTCTCTGCTGCGCACCCTGCCTTTTGGCGCAGGCTTCCACGCAAGTCGGCGTCAGTGCATGCGACTGCCGCGACAATGCGACCCTTGTCGCGTTCCCCGTCGTGTAGCCTGTCCACTCTTGTTTGATCTAATCCAACACCGTCGATGTCACTACAATGTACACCCAAAGTTTGACTCTAACACAGTATTGAGGTCTCCATTCATCACAGATAGACATCGCATTGTCATGGAGCACTACATGGATCACGGCGCCGAGGGCTCGAGAGCACGGCAAAATCGCTCTCAAGCATCGGCTGCCAGTCCTTGTTGACCCAGCGCTCGTACTGTTGGAACTGCGGGTCGTCCGAGAAGCTTTCGCTCATCCAGTCGGCGTCGCTCGTCCACGGAACGATCTGGTTGTGGACAACCTTGGGGCCGTTGTACAGAATCTGCTTGATGCGCGTGTGGCCCGCGCCCAAGCGCTCGAGGCAGTACCTAGATACAAGTCGCATGTTCGATCCCGCTTGCGCACCAGATCGTCGAGTAGGTACCAAAACATACGCGGACGCCACCGGACGTTCTCGGGCTGCAGCGCGTCTTGGCTGAAATTCCCAAACAAAACACAATCCGGTCCGGCGTCACAAACTCGCGGCACACGTAGTAGTTGCTCTCGTCTGCCGTGAGCGCCGTGCGCCGATACACCATCTTGGCATCGATGCTTTTGATGATCTACGACAAGCGACTCGTATTTGCCACAAGAGGTCGTCGTCGTACATCGGCGTCGAGGAACTCGGACATGGCGGCTTGCGTGTCGCCACGGAGCTCGTCCCAGATCTTATCGTGGAGGGCCGCGTATGTCGCCTCGAGCGGCAGGTCGCAGTCGATCTGGATACGCCCGAGGATGTCCGAGACGCCATTTTCATGGTCGACGACTGAGATGTCACGGACGGTGCCCGAGCTTGGAAAGGCGCAGAGTTGCTGCATGCGGTCCGTGTTGTAATACATGTGCTGCGTGAACCAGTCGAGGCCGAGCTTGCGCGATGCTGCGTCTGCGAGAAGCACGATTGGCGTCGATGTGAACGGTCGGCCAACGTCCTACAGTGGAGGTTTGCGATATCCATACACCTCGCATGAGCAAGGTACCGGCACGTTGTTGCGACGGGACATAGATCCGACCCACGCCGACATGACGCGGCCGAGGCGGTACATGGCCTCGCACCGGTCGCGCAGCACTTGGAGCGAGAGGCGCGCCTCGACGCTGGCCTGCGCGAGGCTGCCCGCCACGTCCTTCCATGGTAGCAAGCTCGTGGGCACGACCTGCTTGTGCCCGAGCTCCGTGAGCACCGATCGCATCTCGGTCACTTGCGCTAAAAGCCGCTCGCGCTCGTTGAGGTACCGATCCCGACGCTTCTTCTGCTTGACGCGGTTGCGGAGGCGCAGCACGAGCCGCCGGCGCTCCTTCTTCGCCTCGTCCATCGACTCCATCCCGCCTGTCTGTTTTTATATCGACATACACTCGGGTAAAAGACCGTCACTCGGGCGTCCCTTGACCTTTTACGGAACAGAAGCACAAGAAACGGCGGTTCGCACGGACAGATTGTCCTTTGAAGCAACGACAGGTGAATCCTCTGCTTCCTATAGAATAGCAAGTTAAGTTGCACGTGCCGCTCCATGGAGTAGAGCCGAATGCGACAAGAGCAGTACCATCTCGCAGCAACCTCGCAACCTCGTGAGGTGGCTAGCGACGTTCCAACGACCCTACCTCTGCGTCTATGTGTGCTCATTCTTCTTGAGGGAGTCTAGGCACGACGCTCGCGTGTCCACCTCTTTTGAACCAAAGGTGCGTAGCAAAGGATCATCAATCCATTGGTATTAGCAAGCAGCACGATTCTAGTTGCAACTGGGCAACGCTAGTAGTCCGACTCGCCAAACATGTCACACGTATCGACAGGCTGCTCTTGCAACCGCAACGACCCGAGCGCTTGACGCGTGCCGCTTTTGTCCAAAGCACCGCGTCGAGGTAAGGACCCGACTGCACGTTGAGCAGCTCCAAGTGGGTGAGGCGCCGCAGCTTCTGAAGCGTGGTTGATACAATCGTGGCAATGCTTTATTTGTCCAGGCAGTGGACATCCAGCGACAAGTGCGTCAACGCCGAGCCGTCGATGGCCGTGGCGACAAAGTGAGCGACTGATCGTACTGGAAGCGCCGTGATCTTGAACCACCCCGACTTTGGATGGTACGGCTCGTCGCTCACAAACAAGCGCAAGCGGTGCAAATGACGTGGCAGCGGCATCGGCAAGAACGCCGGCAGAAGCGAAAGGTCGTAGCTGAGCTCGATGGTCGAGAGCGTGGAGCAGTTGCGCATCGCAGTCACGAAGGCAGGAACGTCGTGGACTCGGTCGTCGGACAAGCAGAGGCGTCGCAGAGGCCGCGACGAAAGCCATTGGATGGCCGACCGGACGCCTTTGGTTGTCGTCAAGAGGTTGCCGCCGAGGATCGTGATGTCAACGAGATGCGACGTAGAGAGGGCCGATGTGGCACAGCCAGAGGCAAGCGCACGACCGCATGTTGCGTGGTATCCATTGATGACAATGGGAAGAGGGCCCTACTAGCAATTCTAGCTTGCATGACGAAGCGTACCTCGAGTCATCATATACTGCAAGTCGCACGCGTTTACCAGGGGTCCGAGCTCCATGTATCGCGGACGCTAGAGTGCGATGCACAGGACCACATGACTATAACCCGTCATCAGCTTGTTTATAGACTCCTTGTGTATCAACTCGAGCCATGCACGACCACAGAGGGTTGTTGTACGCAAGGATTTGACCCCGCAAACTATTGTCTTTCAACTTATCACGCTAGTAATCGGCCGCACCAAACATATCCATCGGCTCGACGTCGGACTCCTGACTCTCCAACGCTTCGAGCCCGTGCAATTGCATGGACGCGAGCGCTGCAATCCGAGTCGCATGCGTGGCGAGCACTGCATTCAGCAGTGGACCGTGTCGAACGTGGAACAGCTCCAGGTGTGTGAGGCACGGCATTTTCTCGAGCGCGGTCAACAGAAGCGTCGCAACGCCTCGGTCGTCGAGACGGTCGACAGCCAGCGACAAATGCGTCAAAGCAGAGTCCGCAATACCCGAAGCTACGAGCTCGATAGAGATCGCCGAGATGTCGCACCAATCCGACTCGGAACGAACCGGCATGCTGCTCACAAACAAGCGCAAGCGTCGCAAGTGCCGTGGCAGTGGCGCAGACAAGAACGCGGGTAGAAACATAAGGTCGTAGCTGAGCTCAATGGCCGAGAGCGTGGTGCAGTCGCGCACCGCGGTGACCAGAGCAGCGACGTGGTCTGCCTTGTGCTGGACGTCGTCGAGGCAAAGGCGCCGCAGAGGCCGATGCGCGAGGAATTGGATGGCCGAACGAACGCCGTCGGGTGTCGCCAAGAGGTTGCCACCGAGGAGAGTGACGTCGAGAACGTGCGACGCAGCGAGCGCTGACCAGAGTTGACGCCCGACCGCAGCCGGGAAGGGTGCGTCATCGTACTCGAATGAGGGCGCGTCATCGAACCATTCGTATTCCGTGAGCTGGGCGAGGTCGATCGTGATGCGGCGCAACGACGGCATGGCCACCAATGCAGACGCCCTGCGCGCGACGTCGTCGTGGGAGGCCGTCGGCAAGAGACTAAGCACGCAGCTGGTCCAGACGCCTCTTCCAAGGTTGACCGTCGCAAGCCGCTGCAAACCCAAGATGCTGCGAATGTCGGCCACTTGTGGGAACGCTTGGCGGAGGGGCTCGAGTATTTGGTCGATCATGTAGCAGTGAAAATCCACGTCGACGCCAACATCCCAGAGAGGCTGCAACTCTGGGCGCATCCACACGTTGCGCTTGCTGTTAGGACCAAAGGCGGCCTGGATCGCATTGTATTGTGCCACCGGCCAGAGCGTCGTCGGGTCCTGGCGCGGATGCTGGAGAAGACGGAGGACACCGGCCCACGTATCACCGAGAAATTCCGTTGGCAGAACTTCCAAGAGCGTACGCAAGGCTATAGCGCTGGGTA